TCGCTGAAAATTAATACTAGCTTTAATATATGCTGCATATTGCCTTCATTTGCGAAAACTTTTGACGGTTAAAATACTAATTCGAATGGACCTGAGTGCGAGACTGCAGTTACTGTATTTTCAGAGGTCATAATTCGGGTTAGCATTCCGTGCTACAGTTAGGTCAGATTTCGTACTCTCGGCGTTAATGCCCTCTGCTATGGCTGACTTAAGAGGGAAAGTTGCTATTATAACAGGTAATGTTGAGTATTGTGACAGTTTGTCGTTTTTATTACTGGATCTTATGGCGATCGTATGTGAGTTCGTTGCAACATTGGCTCATCCGTCTACTTCAGATACTCGTAAATTCTCATTCCGGATGCGCGTCAGAATTCAAATATTGCAAAACTAGATGATCTTGAGGCAGGTAATTCTTCAGTTTCCGAATCTGTTGGTTGTTTGTGTCGCCGGTTTGTATGTCTGTTAGTAAAGTATGCCGTTATTTCAGTGCCTTTTAGTAGCTTCATTTAATACTATTAGCTCAGCTATAATCTATACGAATTTGGAAAGGTGATGCATCGGAGTCAAAGAAGAAAATTTTCAGCTCAGAAGTTAGTCGCTTTTGGTGGGCTTTAATGCAAGAAGCAGAGCAAGGCAAGTTTCTGACAAGAATGCATCTCCAGCAGAACAATGAAATAGTGGTAGACCGCAATTCAACAGTTAATTGGCGCCTTAATCGACGAGGATCGAGTTATTACTTCCTTGTTACGTTATGAGCAGAATTTTTTGATGCATTTTGTCAATTAAGGATGTTGAAGGCAATGAAGATTCTTGTCATTACTGTTTTTGTTTGTTTTGTTTACGGGGTTGTTGTTTGTATAAAAGAAATAGCTCGTTTTGCTGATGGGAACCACATTGCTCCAACAAACAGATTTTCCTGCCTTTCCGGATTAACTGATCTGCACAATAGCCGATCATTTTTTGAACTTTTGAATTTTGCATTTATTTTGATTCGTGGTCCGAACTGATGAAGAAAGCATGCAATTTTCGTGTCTGTTAAAATGATTAAGTACTGCGTTTAGCTAAACCATTTCGATAAGAACGCTATAATTATTCGGACGATAGACTTCTCGACGTTTGACTCAGTATCTGACAGGTCCCAAATCTTCATCGTATAGATGACTGTTGCTATTTGTGGTTCTTGGTAAGGGCGACTGTTGTTAGACCAGATCGAAACGCCAGATAGGTTTTTAGGTCGTGATGTGCTTTCGGCGACTGCAGTGTACGAGCAAATGAATCAAACTTTTCGTCTATCCATGAATCTAAAGTGCAACATTTTATACGTTTTATTTCATTTGGATTGTTTATACACAAATGAATAGCAGATGGTCATATATAGTTTATCAGTAACACTTCGTGAAGCCCCATTTTATAAAAGCGCTAAAATGCAGGAGCTAGTTCCGGCATCGGTCGTGCATGCGCAGAACATTTTGCTTCCTTGGGCTGTTTCTTATCCATTTCCGGCCGTAACGAAGAAAGGTTGAAGGCGGTCGCTCAAAACTGCGTTCAGAAGGGCCTGGATTCTGACAAGGTACCTGAAAAACATGCCTGCGGTCATTTAGGTGGTGTTTTAGGTACTGAGTACGCGAGCTGACATCACCAGGAAGGAAGACTTGAAATGTTTGGTGGACAGCACCAAACGCCATTTTGGTAAAATCAATATCCTGGTATGTATCTCACCTGATTTCTGCTAGTCGTGTAGTCGCTGATGTGATGAATACGCTGACACCGAGTTCGTACGGTTCATTGCTTTAGCTTTAGTTATAATCGAATGCGAAGTGTACGTTTTAACAGAATCGGCAT